AGAATGTCATGGCCATTTCACACCTTTACATGACCCCTTGGGGAAACCTTGCTTTCAAGGCCATCATTTCAGAATCATATAATCTCTCTACTCGAGAGAGTCTTCATAGTCTTCATACAATCACAGGTCCATCAAAGGAATATTACAGTACATAGCAGCTTGTCTTGTACCTCATCTATGCATTATGCAAGGCACCGATCCTTCATGCTTTTGATAATATTCTACAAGTTGGATATCAAGTGGCAACTCTAGGAGATGAAGGGCTTCATATCAGCATTTGAGGCAGCAATAACATTCCTCTTCCTCCACATCCTGCGGCTGGGAGGGTCTCTACAGTGAGCTTAATTAACAACTGAAGGGCTGAACTTCAATTAAAAACCAGAGGGATTTTATTGGGAATCAGAGAGATGCAGAAGTTCTCCCATTCTCCCACTGTTTCCAAGGGAATAGGGAAAGGAAGGAAGGAAGTAACATTTGTTTTTTTCACTTACATTTTTGTGTTTGTTACTAATGGTTTATCAACTGCAATGCATCTTACCGTTATTAGCGTCAAGTTAGAGTAATTATCTAACAAGTGTATAAAAGCATCATGCTAATAAATGCTAAAGGCAATCAGAGATGGAGATAAATTATTTATACTGCTTTGATGAGAGCAGATCTGCTGTAGCGCTAAGTACTAGTGGTGCAGAAAGAAGTGCACTACTCCAGAAACCTGAACTTTTTCAAGATGTTTGGAGAATGAGGAACGCAGCCCAAACCTTGATGGCAAAACAAGCCTGTGTAAACAGCACTCGATAGGTAGGTCAGGTTTCCAGTGGCGTGTATTAAAGGATGCCAAGGGAAGCCTTCCCCCAAAAATGTAACAAGAAAAAATGAAAATAATTGATATTTCGTCTCTCTGTGTTTCATAATTTTCCTTCAATTCACAAGAGGCTGAATGTATGTCACCGGAGAAAGCACCCTCTGTCTCTGTATGTGTAGACCATCTATCTGATGCTGTCTGGTCCAAAAGAGTATGACATTGTTGCCGCCCGTAGGATTGAATGCAAGGGAAGGCAGTGAGCATTTGGCCTCCCTTGATTAAAAAAAGTATAAAATAATAGCCAATCAGCATTGAGCTAAACTGAGTAAGCTCAACTGTGAATGGTTCTGGCGCACCAAAAAAGTGTCAAGGGAAGCCAGTTTGGATTTGACGTCACTCCTATCAAATCACATTGCAAGCATACGTCATTGGCAGAAACAACTTGAATTGTTGCATCTCGTTGTGTTGTTGTCCTCCGGTGGCTAGTTAGCTAGCTAAAATTGTCCCTTTCCTAAATTAGCCATGGATGGAGATAGGGATTTGGACTTGTGGTTTTACTTAATTCTCCATACTGGCCAATGATTATAACGGCGATTCTGATCCAACCATTAATTAATATATTGTGCCCCTGGCCTGAGGATGGAAGTTCAATATGTAGCTAGATGTAGAAGGCTAATGTTAACTAGCTAATGTTGCCCATGAAAGGAAGTTAGGCTAGCGAGCAAGCATTTTAGCCAGGTAGCCTAGGACAACAAAAAATAAAAGCTTGTACTGTATGACAGAGTGATAGGCCGTTTTGTCAACATGAAAGAGAGGAGGATGGCATTGGTGTTTCTCTACAAGGATGGTGAGTCAACATGTTTTTTTCTACTTGCACGAACGCGCACGCACACGCACACAGAAATCAGAACCATGGACAGCCACATATTTAGCTTATGTTGATTGGACTAAATTGTTTTTGGTACCTTTTAGTTGTCTGTATTAGACTAAGCATAGGGGATTTTATGATGTTGAAATGTTGAAGTTGAAATGGTGCTGGAATAGTGGAGGAAGCTCCTGTTCTCTTTGCGACTTGTGGTAACTCTACGTGGTTCTAAATCAATAGTTGTTTAGTGGTCTGAAAATGTCTGAAAAATTAACTTGCTTGACCATGCTGTAGTCATGTAACTGTTTGTTACATGAAATATGCCTTGTGGACTTCACCGGACAGAGGTTGCTTTCCAATTTTGTGATGAAACAAAGGTGTGGTTGAATTTATTCTGCCAGTGTCTTCTTATTGTCTCGGCCTGTAGGCCTCTATATCACGGTCGCAAGGCATATGAACTAACAGGTTATAGAGCAAACAACGCAATTATCACAACACATAGGTTGTAATATAGCTTTTTTTTGTGGCTTTCCCAGTGATTTTACCCACGCACCGCTATTGCAGGTTTCGGTGTTTCGCAACCCGTTTCTCCAATGTATTCATTTTCTCCTTTTTAGAGAGATATTTTCAGTCTGGTATTTACTACCCCAAGGAGGGACGGGACTGGGAGCTTCTGGGTCAACTAACAAAAGATACCTACTTTTAGGTAAACATAGGCAAAAGTCCTAGAAAATAGGTTTTAACCAGCTCTTCAATTCTCCTTTTACACACTCCTTTACTAACTCATGGCTATGAGATGTATCCAAAATCAGAAAAGTATTATGCTTGACACAGCTCAACATACACATGTTTAGAGAGTATTAGGGATACCAGTTATACCTAAACCTTAAAGAATAGTTCAATTGTGGAGCCTATTATGATGATGATGCATAGCAAATAATGAATGTGCAGCATAAGATTAGTATCAGAGCAAATGGGAAAGGATTTTGTTGCCTTCAATTTCTCCCTTATACTAATCTAGCTGTCCTGATCACCAATATGTTGACTATATGTTCCCTTTCTAATTCTATTGGCCATTTGGAATACAATCTCAAGACTGTAAACCTAATGACAACTTCATTATGTGATGTAGAAATGCTGACTGGATGGCCTAGTTCTACAAGCCTGGTCCCATACTGTTGCAGTAGCCAACTCTCTATGACATGACAGCTGTTAGAGAATGGCACTTTCAACACCAAGGTTGTGGGTTCGATTTCCATGGGGGACCAGTACGAAAATGTATGCACTTACTACTGTAAGTCGCTCTGGATAAGATGACTTAAATGTACGAGTTGGCTACAGTAGATGGGACTAGGCTAGTTCCACTGGCTTCCATTTGAAAAACTCTGGGCCAGTTTTTCCAGACACAGACTAAAAGGAATGTTCAGTGGAGATTATCCATCGAAAGTGTTTCTTAATAGAAGACTAGGTTTAATCTGTGTCTGGGAAACCGTCCCTCTGCGAACATAAACCGATCTGCAATCCCTGAAAATATGAACTATGTAATAAAGTGAGAAGATAAAAAAATGAAACAAAGCATAAGTCTGATAAGATTCTTATTATTCCAATAAAAAATACATTCATACAGAAATATAACAATTTTGCAAAACAATTTGAAATAAATGTCATAAAGCAAAAACAAATAATCTTACAAAACAATTTTTTTTTTCTGTATTTTTTTTTTTTTCTTTGACAAAGATTCTGTAAAGAACAACGGGCGCTGTCTGTGGAAGAGAGAGAAAAAGAGAGAATCAGTGCGTCCCAAATGACACCCTATTCCCTATATAATGCACTACTTTTGAACAGAGCCCTATGGTCCCTGGTCAGAAGTAGTGCACTAATAGGGAATAGGGTGACATTTGGGATGCAGAAGTAATGGAAACTGTAGGTTAAGATGCAAGCAAACATGAGGCTTGATTAAGGCTCGATTGTCACCTGAATGATATTGGCTGCTGTTCCGTTACAAAGACAGAATGTCATTGTTCTATTCCTTTCCCACAAAAGCCTTGCTGTTGCTGGCAGTGTAATATTATTGCAGCAAGCCATTTCAAGTTGTACTCATCCTCCATCTTACAACAATCTGATCTAAAATCCATGTTGTGGCCCTGCTACACTGATCTTGCTGCAATGTCAAATTCCACCCACAAAGCATGGCATGTCCCTGATATTGAATAAAATAAAAGTCTATGTACTTTGTTATATTTCAATGTTAATATCACCGATCCTTGAGTCTAGACTTTGTAAATGACACAGATATAACATAATACGTTATCCTTTAACATTATTTGGTCCCTTACCCTGCAAGAATTTCCTGAAGTCTTCAAATTATTTCAAGTGTGTACATAAACAATGAATCCGTTTCAAATGGGGGGAGAGATCTTCATTTTTATTAATTTTTTATCCTGTTCACGATGGTTTTGATAATAATGTAGCTGCCTGGACCAAAACAACGAATGTGGCTGCCCAGACGGGTCAATAGCAAACTCCCAGAGTCAGCAGTCCGTAATAAATTCTATGCCAGCAAAGCCTTTAGCAATTTATTACAGAGATGCAGTACAAGGCAAGGGCTGTCCAACTGGAGCTTGTTAATTACAATAAATCTTTAGGGTTTTTCCTCAGCTTTGGTTGCAGGGGGGATATTGGCCTACAGTGAGTCTGGGCCCCCGAGTTCTCTACAAACCCAATGCCAGGGCATTGTTGAAAGCAGCTGCATCACCATCACATTCCCTTTAAGTCAGCCTTGTCTTTATGGACACCAAAAGTTCATGTCCTAGACTGCATCTGAAATGGCACCCTATTCCTTTTATGGTGCACTACTTTTGACCAGGACCCTATGGTCCCTGGTCAAAAGTAGTGACCTATAGAGGGAATACGGTGCCATCCCAGACCTAGTCCTATAGTCTCATCAGGTTGTTTTGTACCTTTGAGCAACATTTTTACTTGACACCAAATGTGTATAACTACATAGATACAGTACATACTACAGTAGTAGTAAATTGGGTTAATAATAGATTGGTTTAAGTGCTCTCTAAATTATGCCTTAGTTATTTTACACGAGTCTTGGTTTGATCCGACTGAATGTACTATATAGATCATCAGGGTGCTTTGCAATATAACCTAACAAAGGAGGATCTTTACTGTACATGCTATAAACACTATTCACAATCTACATAGGGTTAATAGTCCTTGCAGTCTCTGAAAACAAGGAAAGGTGCAAGTAAGTTCATGTGAAATTGAGCCTTAATAAAGCTTTTCAAATCACCCATACAACAATGTGACCGCCCATACAACACCCCCCCCCCCCAAGGAGTAGTCATCCATCCCACAAGGATAGGTCACTTGCATAAGGCACCATTAAGGTCATCAACAGTGCATTACCAGGTAGAATAGAAGATATACAAAATCAAATTCGATAGTCCTCAAGGCATAGATGAGTGAAAGAAAAAAATAGCTTAATGAATGAATGATTCAGTTGCTAAGTAAGCAGTAATGGTTTCTCAAACCAAAAAGAGAGAGAAAGAGAAGTACTGAAGTAATTTTAAAAAATCATCAAGGCTTTATGTACAATATTGTAACATTTAACCGTTCGTATTTAGCTGCGCTTTTATTGGAATCTATTTGCAGTCCTGATTACAGAATAACAGGAAGAGAGAACAAACCCTAGAACCATGCAACACCTGTCTATGATACTGAAGTTATAGTATAGTTGTGTTATACCTCTAAGCACACAGCTTATACAATGGACTAAAAATTTGCTTTGTAACTTGTAAAAAACAAGCTACGTAACACATTGCACATTTAGTAGCTGCACCAAACACCAAAAAAAGCTCCTCTCACTCAGGACTCACATTATGGAGTTTCTGCCCTGGCCTGGGTTGCTGAATGGGGGGGAACAAAACACATCACCCCCACCCTACCACTCAACACCACAACCCCTCAAGGCTTCTGGCGAGAAACCCCAATCTTCACTCAGTCTCGCTGCTGCTTGACAGTCAGGCAGGCAGACACGTTCTCACACACCCGTACTCACGACTACAAGAAGAAAAAAAAAACTTGCTCCCTGACACCATTCAGTCCACAGCAACACTGGTACCAGACCGCCTTTGCTTCCCCCTCTTTGCACACAGGCCAGTCAACCAAGTCAGACATTCACAGTGCACACATGCTTACCTCAGACAACAGTTTTTGTAAAGCAGTACCAGTGTATCAGTTGTCCAGGAGACAGTTGCGCCACCTCAAAAACATCATGCACCAACCACACATACAACTCATTCATTCGTTTTTTTTGTCTTTGTTTTAGTTATTTTTTTTTCTCTTTTTATTTCAAGTCCCTCAATTCAATTGGCTGCTTCCTCCCGTCTGTACATGATTTTGTCCTCTGTTGTTGTGGTTTTTGGACAGGCAATCTTCAGAGCGCCTTCCTTCTCCAAGGGGTCCATCCATCCCGGAGGCACTGGGTATGGTGCAAAATGGCATACTTTGGCTAGAACACGCTCCCCTAGCTTGCTCCTCTCAAGGGCAGTTCAACCATGAGGCTGGTTAGGAGACGACATTTCCTTTCGCTGCGTTTGTTAGTTTCACTAAACGGCTAACATCGCTCCGCTCCGACCCGCTCAGAGGTGTCTCTTCATGTGGAGGGCAAGGTGATCGGACCTGGAGAAACACCTTGAAAGAGAGAGACGGAAAGTGTGAACTGGAGGGTACTTAAAAAGTAGTAGTAGTAGTAATAGTAGTAGTAGTAGTAGTAGCACTACTACAAAAACCAACAAATGTGTCAAGGATACAAGTACAGATTCAAATTGAACATAAACAGCCTTACAATATAATTACATATTTTAAGAATTTCATTATGCATTTGACTAAGCATTTTCATGAAGCACTTGTTAACAATGCAATGCTATTCACATCAATGAATGAACAGACAACCTTACAACTCTAGTAAAACAATCATTATTTTCTAACACTTGATTAAATGGTATCAAGAGGGATTGGGTAAACACTCAGGTGCAGGTGGTCTCTATTGTAGATAGCAGAGTGATTGAGCTTACCGGTCACAGTGACTGCATTTAAATGGCTTGGCCCCAGTGTGCTTCCTGAAGTGTCTGGTTAGCTCATCACTTCGTGCAAATCGCCACTCGCAGCCCTCCCATGAACACCTGTATGGTTTCTCACCTATGAAATAAACAAGAGAAAAACATTAATATTGTGAAATGTATGTAATATTGAACATTACATTTTTTACCTCCAATCAATGTGAAAAATGCAGTGTGCTAAGCTAAAGTATTTGTAAATTGTGAGCTTTCTTCTGGTCAATGACCTTTGGTAGTAAAGAGAAAGGAAATGACTCATAGGCTAGATGAGGTGACACCGGTAGTCACTTGACAGCTATACAACTTTATTCATTGACAGACACTTGGTCTAAATTCAAATGAACCGGTTACACTTTGCTAACACAACGCAAAACATGTTTTGGAATGCAGAAAGTCCTCTTATCTGCCGGACGTAATAGCAGTCTTCAAGGGTCAGAGCCCATAGAGAACCACATGTGCAATTGCTGCTAATAACAAAAACTAGGGACGGTCAAATGACCATACAGGCCCCCACTCAACAGCCTCCCCTTTCCCACTGTGAAACAATCAGTTTTGAAGAGCCATGGCTAATGGCTGCATCCCAAATGCCACCCTAGTCCCTATACAGTGCACTACTACCCGTACTACGGCTCTGGTCAAAGTAGTGCACTATAAAGGGAATGGGGTGCTATTTGGGATGCAGATCAAGTCCCTTGTTTTCCCATGTGCACTGGGACTGCATCCCCTCAGTGTGACTGCCTCCCCTCCCCCACAGCATTCAGACACATTCCAGATAGATTAGGTCACAGTTTAGGTATCCAGTCATGTACGGCTAATACTCTCAGAGTGAGTGCACTGTGTGGCACTCTCTTTGTGGCTGCATGAGGACACGCAATGAACGGGATCTGGATCTTTAATTACATTATACAACTAGCTAACCAGACAGACAATACCATTTGGTTGAATAAAGAATTGCAGTCAAATAAGATATTGCTTTTGTGTAACGGTGAGGAAGTAAGGAAACTTAGTGCTATCATTGTCACTTCCGCCAAAAAGGGTTTGTTTTTTTCCCCAAGGTTATGCAATGCAGAGGCCTGGGTTGTGATAGCATAGGGAAATGTCTGCTTTCTCACCTGTATGAGTGCGCTGGTGTGCTTTTAAGTGGGAACTCTTTGTGTAAACCTTGCGGCATCCGTTGAAGTGACACCTGTGCACCCGTCTCCTCCCGTCCGGTGACGCATCTCCGGCAACCAGCCCAGTCTTTGCCGAGTTCTTTCCGATGCCGCCTGTCCGGACTTTTACCGGCAAGGTCAATTCTGTGTGTACGCTTCCCCAGCCTTGTGAGATGCTGGGTTCCGAGCTGACCTCTGGGGAGGATGGGGGAGTGCTAATGATAGAAGGGCTAAAAGGTCCAGCACCGGCCAGAACCGACCCCAGAGGGTTCAAGGTAAAGCTGTGTGTCGGCGAGAGCTCCACGGAACTGTCTGAAGCTTCGCTGCTGGCGTCAGAGTTTACACTGTTGGTTTCCAAGATCTGGCCATCCTGATTGTCCTCTTCTTTGACCAGAGGGATCTTCGGGTCGGAGTCGATCGCTTTATCACCGCAGGCCAAGATCAGCTTGCTCCAGAGGTCCTGCTCCTGCGGCTCCAACTTGATGTCGGATGTCACAGAGACGTAAGGCTCGCTCTGTAGATACCGCTCCAACTCCAAGCATGTCTGGTTCAGGAACAAACAAAACAGATGTTTAAAATATATAGAAGAGGTGGTGCATCACAGGTGTATTGCATTTCTGGGAGCTACCAGACAACCAACAAATGAAGCAGTATCAACTGCATTGATGTTTTATGACAACAGACTTGTGCCACTTGTTTCCTTTGGCTCACAAGGCAGACCAGCTAAGGTTAGTCTGGGTAAACCATAGCTTCACACTAGTACGAAAACACATGTTCAAACAAGAAATGGTCTCATCTTGACTATCACATGGTTGTGACCAAATTCAAGCTAGCTAGGTTACATGTTTACATACTCAAATTGAGCAGTCATAAACTGCATATCCTAAGTGGTGTATATGTGTGGAGGAACAGGGAACATCCATTCTCAGTTCTGTGGTACAATGAATGACTCACAGAGCACATTTAGTGTCCTTTTAAGGAAGCCACTGAACTTCCTGCTTCCCCAAGACTCATTCAGTTGCCACAGACTGACTGACACGATGCATTGCATGTAATCACATCCTTCCTACCCCCCAGAACTCTGTCACTTAGTTTCTCCATTCGTTATAATACATTAATTCAGTTGATACTATAGCTTGAGGATTCATTAAAAACAGGGTCATCTGCTTGGAGGTATGGCAGCATGTAGGTTTGACAAGAACAGTTGGAGGAAAATAATTCTGCCCCAGGCAAAGTGCATAACGCCCCTACCACAATCTAAACCAATAATTTCCAGTTGCAATACTATCTACTCATGCGCACAGGAATTGGTCACTGCTGACATTTGATAGTCTGGATATGAGCATACTGAAACCCACTGAACGACATGCAAATAAATGGTCAGTGTTATCAAGTGAGTTAAAACTATGCTTTTGATAAGTAAAATACATTTTCCAGTTCTCTTTAGTAAAAATAAGCTAAATATTTCCCACTACCAGTCTCGACAGTATTTCTCTGTGGCTGTGTTGAAAGAGTTAAATCTCTTTTATGACAGCGAGGAAGAAGTTGGCTCCGTGCCAAATCGCAAATGCCTTAAGGAAACTACTTGGATCGATTTCAATCACGTATGAACTGCAAATATCTTTAGAAAAATGAGTAAAAACGAGGCAGTCCGTCATGATTAATACGAAGGGTCAGTTATGTTACACTTTATTGGTGTAAATTGTATCCACTTTCAAAATGAAATTGTTGAATTGGCTGGATTCTGGTTAGACTACTTCAACAGATCCGCTTACGAACGAGTTCCGCTCCGCAGCATTTTGAACGACAACAACTCCGTTACTTGAACCAAAGCATTGCTTTCGAGTTCACTTCCGATATGAAGGCTACTGTAAGTAGCCTATAACATCGCTCAGAAATATCACAAAACTAGACTACACTGCTAGAAATTATATTGGTCGCGTCCCATTCATTTCAAGTGAGACTCCGGAGCTGTCAAACACTGGCTCACTGAACTAGACTGCTGTGCTTTGACGGGCAACAATGCTCTACTTCGAATCAGCCATCTGTATAAAACAAGATAAGGACATAACTTGTGCATATGTGGGTAACCGGTTAAATAACACGTTTAGTCCTCCATTCGGAGGTATCCCTAGAAATACGAACAACGCTTGGTTATTTTTGACATGCTCTAACACACGCACGGCGAATTTGACACATCCAGCTGGCCAAGGAATTCTGCATATTTGTAACTTACTGACGCTTCAGCCACTGTTACAATTCATGATCATCTACTACAAAATAAGTTGACAAATTGACGATCTACATTTTGTTTAAAATTAAGAAAAAAATATGCACGAGGAGCTGTTTGACCACAGACACAAAGGTCTGTAGAATATCGTCACAAAGTATATTAGTAGGATATAATGTATCCATTTGTATCAATTATTGTATCATTCGTTTTCACATACTTGAACTCATGTAGCCTATAGTCATGCCAGGCTAACAGCCAATCAACACAGAGGTCTGATTGGTCACATATTATCTTTATTTCAGTTTAATTAAACAGTTTCAAATTAACGGATAAAATAATGTTACCTGCTGCCAGTAATCCTCCAGGGATGGTAAAGCTGAAAAGTAGCCAGTGTCATGTACAATCTGAAGTTCCTGAAAGATGCTGCACATGGGTAGAACATCCATTTCAAATCCCAAATGTTGGCTAAAGCGCTGCTCTTAAATATTTTTCTTTAGAATCAAGATGCTATTCAAAATGTTGGTCAATCACGAACAGGCAAGTAAGATCCTTGTTTTAATTTCACATGCAAACCTATCTGTAGCTAATGCAAATAGCACGCACTGCAAAGAAGCGTTGTTTTGCTTCCCCGTTGGCAGACCACTGCTCACTGGTGATGAAGTTACTCTATTTGCAAACACTGAACTAAATGCGAAGCCCGTACCATGTAAACTTCCTTATTCAAACCTCGCAACCTACCTACCCCCTCGTGACAGCATTACGCTTTTGGAACGGTAACCAATGAAGTCGAATCAGCTTGCCCGCGCGCATATGATATCACAACCAACCAATCATAATCGTCTCCTGACATAATTTGGTCCTGTCTCTTTTTTTATTGGTGAGTTTGAGTCGCAGTTCCTTCACATTCATTGGACAGCTATTTTTAGAAAAGTATATATATATGTGATGTACTCTATTCAACTGTCAGCGAGTTGCCTCTTTCTGCATATTTCGCCAGAGAGCGCATCTGAGGAGCAGCAATGTTTCCTCTTTGTAAACAGTTTCACTGTGTAGTTGTTTGACAGAGTTTCAACATACAGTACAAGACAAATACTTTTGAAACAGTATGCGAGAATGCCTGGAATTTATTTAGAATAATCTGAAATACGCTTTTTTTGTCGACTATATTCTTGAGTTTCACACACTGGCAGTTCTTACTAACATACTACCGTCTCCCAGTCGCAAGATGGTAGGCTACAGCTAAATTCCACAAGGGGAGCCAAGCGCCACATCGCTCATGACTCAAATAGGCTACACCACTCTGGTAAAACGCAGCTATGCAGAATGCACAACAGTTGTCCAGTATTTTGTTTGTCCAGCAACTGAAAGATGGTCATAGTCAACGAGTTAGATATCCTTAACGTTAAACTTTATGAAGGGCACACTCATGCAGAGTAGGTTACTTTTGGGGGGAAACTTGAGTTTGAAGAAGAAAAAAAAAGTGAATAACAATATTTGATTCAGATAATTTTTCCATTGGCTATCAGTGGGGGTGACTTAAACATTTGAGAAGGATGATGGATTAATGCCTTTAGGTCTAGGCTGCTCATTTAGTGATTAGAGCTGAAGAGATTGTCCTAATGATATCAGGATCTATGCTTTGTAGTTCTCAGTAACATCCTGTTTTCGTAGAAATTATGACCAGTTGAGCGAAATAACCAAAACACATACAAATGCAGCTAATCTATTTAATGATCTATCTATGCTCTAAGCCGCACAGGTTTCTAAATTGTTTTATGGGTGTCAGTTTTCCATAACATCTCATATGTATAGTGCACCAAGGAAATCATATTGTTCTGTCATCTTATATACTTGATTCTAACAGTAGTTTGATATGAATAAATAAACCGTGCGAGTTGCTATCCACACTCAAATGTAACTCCATCACAGAAGATTTCTACAACCATGGCATTACGCTATTGCATACTTGGTATCTCCCCCCTCTTTGTATAGTTTCCCAATATGTTGGGAATGGCACCGAATAAATAGAGGAAATTCTTTCATAATTGCAAAGTTATAGGATTAAGTAATATAGCTCTGTGATCATCATGACCTGAGTGACATTCTCAGTTAAAGATAGATGAGTTGCAAACAACATATTTGGAACAGAACCTCATTGTTTCAATTGGAACTATATCCTGATTCTAGAACTGAGAGTCTTTTGTGAACGATCAGCTGTTGGGGCATATTTGTGGCTTGCAGCATCTGATGTGATGTGATGTATTTGGAACCCTAAAGGAACCAGGCCTCAATTGTCACTGGAATGCAAAGGAATTCCTGCTTATGTGCACACTAATGGTGCTGTCCATTATATATTGAGTCATCCATGGTGGATGGTGGCTTTGAAGATAGTCCCCTGTAGCTCAGTTGGTAGAGCATGGCGCTTGCAACGCCAGGGTTGTGGGTTCGTTTCCCACGGGGGGCCAGTATGAAAATGTATGCACTCACTAACTGTACGTCGCTCTGGATATGAGCGTCTGCTAAAATAACTAAAATGTAAGATCGTCTTTAAACTCAATGAGGTCTATTCAGAAACCTTTCTAAGCATGTCATTGTTTTAGAGATCGACTATGATGCACCCTAATTGCAAACTCACATAGGGTTTTTGTCATGGATCGATCGAATGATACTGCACATCCATGCATTGCAGCTTGTACTTTATGCATGACAGGATTGTTGCCTCACATCCTGTAGCTCAGCCTACAGCAACAGAGTGAAGCTGTGAACCTTGTGACCAGCCCACAGTATGCTGTCAGCACTGCTATGTAGGATTTTTTAATAATCGGATGTAGTCTTTTTGTGAATAAAATGCTAAGTACAGCTAAGTACAGTCTCAAGGAGGCCCATTTTATCTGACACAGTACTGTGTGTGGTTGCACAATTGAGGCCTGGCTAACCCAAGTTCAGCTTCTTTAAGTTACAGTATTAACCAGCTAGCTCCAGACTTATCGTTAACTTCACCACTCACAGTTGAAACATTCAGAGAATGCAGCACTGTCTTTGCAAGACACCAGGCAGCTTTTATCTTGGAAAGCCGACCAGGCAGGCCAGGTCCTAAAGCTATATCATCATTATGCAATCCTAACCAGGCAACCAGTAGGCCTAGCCACAGGAAAGAGCCATTAGAAGATGGCCCACTTTAATGCATCATTGTCAAGACAATTATTTGTTTTAAGGTTTTTTCTTCCAGTGATGGACACTGTTGACAGGCAAGGATACATTCTTCGTCTCCAGGTATAGGCTACGTCTCTTGATGTAAAATTAATTAACAATGTGGTAATTTTATAAGTTGTGTATGTGTCCCTTTATAAAGGGATAACACATATTATATCAACTAGTAGGACAACACAGAAGGCTTTGATAGGCAAATACAGAATGCCTACTAGTTTAATACATAATTTCATACTATTTCTGGAATATTTTACAAACAACCAGTTTGCAGATAAAGCACAAGGTAGAGTTGATAGAGTAATGCATTTGTCTCTGCGGGGGCATTGTAATTTGTTCAAGCTTAAATAAAATGAAAACGAAGCAATTGATTGGACATCAATGCACTTACATCAATCACTCTTTGTAAAAGATGGACAGAGAGAGAGAAAAAAATCAGGCAAAAATCAATATTCATTCTAATTCAACATATCATAAATCTAGATAGAGTCAGCACTGCTCGCTCACAGTGAGATGATGATTGGCCAGTATGGTCTTATTTCACATTCTCTGTGGGTTTCAGCTCATCCTGTTTGGTATTAAAGTGTTTGTTTGGTGAAGTCCTCATTGAAAGGCAGTGAGGGTTGGCATGTTGTTGGCCTTATATTATGTTATCAGGCCATGTCACAGGACGGGGGATAGATGTGTGTACATTGGGCCATGTGGCGTCAACCCATCAGAGAAGACCCTTTGCCTCGCAGGCAGCTCTTGACCTTGTGTGTGTGTGTGTGTGTGTGTGTGTGTGTGTGTGTTCAGTAGCTCTCGACCTTGAGGAGAACAGTCGGCTGTGTGTTTGTATTATGGGATGTATTTGTGTGGAATCACTAAGTGGACTACATGGATACATCACTTAGCACTACTATGGCTAGTTTAATCATTATTGTCTGCCTCACTGGCAGTTGAGTGATGTACGTGTACAAAAATGGTCGCTAACATATTTGTAATGACTTGTTAAATACTGACCAGTAGACTTAGACACTTAAAAAAAAAGACATGTAGTAGGCGTGTACTATAAACAGACCCTGTAACAGAGAGGTATAGGGTAGTAGCTATTCTGCTGCCTTGAGTTCGGCAATACAATTAGTAATACAGTGTACTTAAGCTATCTAAAAAACCTTCCTAAATCATTCAGGTTTTACAGAATTGTTATTGTGGGCAACAGTTTTGGATTCACTATACCACCCAAAATACCTTGAAAATTGTGCCCCAAAAAACGGAGTTGTTTCAAGTAGGATGTTGTTAAGCATTGCATTCACAACACGTAGGACAGATTTGGTACTAGATCTTTCAATGTGCTTGGTGGAAAATCTGGAGGACAGTTCAATGGTCATTGTTTGTCCCAGGGGTGGTGTATTCAGTGGCACCAAGTTGTTTCCCCCTGTGATTCCCTGTGCTTCAGGCCTGCAACCATTATACAGAGCCAAAGGAATGTTAGATATTTTATTATTTTCAGAAACCACTCTGTGGGAACACACTCTCTCCTTTTACGGGGGAGGTATTTATCAAGTGTATAAACAATGACCCAACCCACTGATTACAGACTACAAGGGTGTATTCATTTGACACTTTCGGGGGTGGGAGACTAATAAGGAAGGGGAGTAGGGGAGGGAGAGGGGAGTTTATATCAGGTTACCCTGACCATGGACAAGTAGACCTGAATCTGGTATTTTAATTCCCTGATCCCTGATCCCTCTGCTGAGAATTCCCTTTCTTCTCCTTGCTCTTGCATTTAATGCATTAGCTGACATCACGTGACAGAAACCAGGTTTTGTTTTGATAGAAAGATTCCTCTGAATGTTAAGTTCTGTGCATTTAGTTTTACAACTGTTGACGACTGTTGGTACCTTTTAATACCATGATATGAATAGAATAGCACTCATTACCAGTTTGAATTGGTTTAATAATCGTTTTCTGTTTTTAGTGTGCTGTGGTGGATAATCTGTGATTATTTTATAAACAAAACCACTTTTTTTGTGATGGATATATTTATTTATAGCCAACAATATTGTTACACCACAGCCACGAGCTGTTCACTCCCTTACCGTCAGGCAGATGGTATCAGAGCATGAGGTCTGATACCAGCAGGCTTAGAGACAGTTTCTATCTACAAGCCATCAGACTGCTGAACACTTGAACTGGACTGACCACCTGCAGTGACTCTCCACACCTTAGCACACATGCACAAATGCTGCTACCAGACTCTTACAATACTGCACAATTTAAACTCTTGTCCCCCAATCTTCCCTTTCTCTGATACATGTGTAAATATTGGACTATTTTTACATTTTAGTAGACGCTCTTATCCAGAGTGACTTACAGTTAGTGCGTGCATACATTTTTCATACTGGCCCCCCCGTGGGAATCGAACCCACAACCCTGGCATTGCAAGCACCATGCTCTACCAACTGAGCTACAGGAGGCCTATAAATTGTGCCTTCCTTTATTATACCTATGCTAAAATGTTTATTCTACTGAGCCATTTACTTTATGTCCGTATTCTGATATTTTATTATTTCTTATTGTTGT